GCCTAACCTTGGTCATCCTTGGGTGGGTTTGACCTCTCTGGTGTCTCCTACAAGGAAACAGACAACTACTATCCTTATCAGAAGGGAGTGGGCCCTACTTGTGGGATAAACAGTGGTGTCTGCTTGGTCTAGATGGCTGGTAGCTCTTAGGGAGAATGATTCCTAATCTACTCCTGATGACCTCCAAGTGTATAGTCATTCTCAAGCAGCTAAGTCTGGTGTATATTTGGGGGAGACAGCTTGAGAGAAATCCTTCTGTTTCCCATACCTCAGGAAGGGAACACAGAATTTATAGGTGCTATAGCAAAATGTGGCAAAGAACTTAGATGCTAGCAGATAAAATAGCATCTGGAGTCTTAAAGGCTTGTCTCCAAACAAGCAGCCATCTAAGTGAGATGTCAGCGAAGTCCACACCATCATCTGTCACCGAAGCATTGGAATCCATATAATCTGAAGTCGAAGGAGGATCCGTATCAGAGCCTAAATGGTGAGAGTCCCGTGTGCAGAAGGCGATGCTGACCGTGGGAGCCCTAGGTTCATTTGTGGAACTACACAGGAAATACGCCCTTGGAGAACTCCCCCGATCTAAAATGGAGGGATGGCAGGAAAGTGGTCACTAAACAGAGTGCTTGGGAGAGAGGAGTATAGAAAACCAGAGGCATAAATCTGACCTGAACAGTTAAAACGTTGTCAGTAGATGGAACTGATAGATCCCCCTCTGATGCAAGCTGGACCTGATCTGGTTTCCAAAATTTTTGTATTTTTGGTTTGTATTGTTTGCTTCGCTTTGTGTTTGTTCATAGTAGAGTGCACCTCAGAGGTGTTAGGTCAATGGAAGTCGCCCGCTTGAAGCTGTGTTACACATGCTTTTCCATTTTTCAGCATACGAAACCCAGTATTGATGTACCTACGGGGACAGCAAGTAGAATGAGGGGTTTGTGAGGAGGGACAGTGGTGGTGATGGGGTAAAAGGGAGACCATGTCAAGAAGTCCATGTAGAAAGAGAAGATTTGGAAACTGATTGTGGTAACAATTGTACATTCTACTTAATATGATTGAACTCTGGAATGATAGATTATTAAATCCCAACAACAAAGTAAATCCTCTGATTCACCGCTTCATCACTTTCCCTCTTCCCACATTCCAAGTTGTTAACAAGCACTGATCTTTTGACTTTCTCAATAGTTTTATCTTTTCCAAGATGTAATATCATTGGAATCATTAATGGGGGCTTCAAATAATTTGTGAGAAAATCTCATTATCTTCTAATTGCATTTTTCCACAAACTTTTTTAAAGATAATTTTATTGAGGGTTCTTAAAGCTCTTATAACAACCCATATATTAATTATATCAAGCATATTTGTACATATGTTGCCATCATTGTTTTTTCAACATTTACATTCTATTTGAGCCCTTGTTACCCTCTCTCTCCACCTCCTACCCTCGTGACCCCTTGATAACTTATAAATTATTATTTTCATATCTTACATTGACAGCTGTCTCCCTTCCCCTGCAGTTTCTTCCCCCTTCTCTCCCCATTTCCCCCCTACCCTCCTGGTATCGCTACTCCCATTTCTGTTCCTGAAGGGTTTATCTGACCTGGACTCCTTGTGTCCTGAGCTCTTGTCTGTACCTGTTTCCACAAACGTTTTGAAGCCCCTTGTATAATGTAGTCTTCTCAGACCGACTTCTTTCACTTACATGATATATGTGGGAAGTTCCTTCCGTGTCTTTTGTGGCTTGATCATTGATTAATATTCCATTGTATGTGCCACTCTGTGTGCATCCTTTGGTATCAATTTTGTCAAATTGTGGGGCTATTTTCAAATAATTTCATCTAAACTGTTGAATTTGTTGACATAAAGTTGCTATAATAATTCCATATTATCCTTTAAATGTATTAGGTGATTTCAAAGAGTTATGCAAAAAAAAATGAATGAAAAGATGAGTTTTTCCATGAACTTTATGTAGAACCTGAAATTTCTTTCATTCCTAATATTGATGAATTTGTTCTCTCTTTCTCTCTTTTCTTACTCATTCTGCCTAGGTTATCAATTTTTATTGCTATTACAAAGAAACACTTTAGACTGTTCATTTTCTGTTTAGGTTGCAATATATGGCATTAATTAATTTTAACTTATAGCCCTTATATTTGGTTTCATTTTTCTCACTCTGAAAGTGGAACTGTACCTTCCTCTTAGAAAATAGCCTCTTTAAAATGT